TGCTGAATAATAGTGGTGAAAGTGGGCATCCTTGTTATGTTTCAGATCTTTGAGAAAAGACTTTCAGGTTTTTTTTTTTTTTTTTTTCCTCCTCCTTTTTTTTTTATTTTTTTTTTTTTTTTTTTTTTTTTTTTTTGCCTTTTTTTTTTTTTTTTTCCCTCCTCCATTCAATATGATGCTAGCTATGCATCTGTCATATATGGTTTTTATTATTTTGAGGCATGTTCCTTTTATACCCAGCTTTTTGAGGGTTTTTTTAAAATTATCAAAGGATGTTGAATTTTATTAAATGCCTTTTCAGCAGCAGTTGAAATGATCATATGATTTTTGTCCTTCATTCTGTTGATATGATGTATCATATTGATTGATGGCATAAGATGAACCATTCTTGCATCCCTGGGATAAATCCCACTTTGTCATAATGAACAATCTTTGAATGTGTTGTTGAATTCTGTTTGCTAATATTTTGTTGATTATTTTTACATAAATATTTATTATAGATATTGGCCTATAGTTTTTATCCTTTGATGTATCTTTTTCTGATTTAGGTATTATGGTAATACTGGCCTCAAAGAATGAGTTTTGAAGTATTCCTTCCTTCTCTTATGTTTTGGAAGAGTTTTTGAGTAGGGTTGGTATTAGTTCTTTAAGTGTTTGGTAGAATTTAATGATGAAGCCATCAGGTCCTAGGCTTTTCTTTACTGGGAGGCTTTTTATTATGGCTTTGATCTTGTTACTTGTTATTGGTCTGTTCATGTTTTGGATTTCTTCCTTAATTAACCTTGGTAGGTTGTATATATCCAAGAACTTACCCGTTTTTGCTGGATTTTCCAATTAATTGGCAGACAGTTGTTAACAGTAGCCACTAATAATCTTTTGAAATTCTGCAGTATCGGGTATAATGTCTCCTTTTTCATCTCCGATTTTATTTCGGTCTTCTTTTTTTCTTAGTCAAGCTAAAGGTTTACACACGTTATTTATCTGGTTAAAAAATCAACTTTTCATTTCATTGATCTTTTGTACTTTTTAATTTCAATTTTATTTATTTCTGCTGTGATCTTTATTATAATTTTTGGTTTGTTTTGCTGTTGTTTATTTAAAGATGCAACTTTAGATTATTTGATTTTTTTTCTTTCTTTTTAGTTTTTTTTTTT